TCTCTCTCTCTGTGTGTGTGTGTATCTCACACACATTCTCTCTCTATCTCTCTCTGTCTGTCTTTCTCTCTCCAAACGGCATCTCTTTTTAACCTCAGCTCCTTTCGAGTGAGTGGTTGGCGGGTGCTCTGGTGTGGTTTGCTCCTTTGTTCCTATTCAAACATCTATCATCCATATATTTCCTCTTTCATTTTTAAATTAATTTTTATAACTCTCTTGTAGTAACACCTCCAATCTTCGGTACTTTTATGATCTATTTGTGTTGCAAGTGCCGTAAAACTCTGGCTAGTGGGTGGACGGCGGGTGGTCTGGTGTGGTTTGCTCCTTCTTTCCTATCAAACATCTACCGTCAAGATTTCTCCTCCTTCTTTTTTTGTGTGTTTGTTACTCTCTTGTGACACCTCTAATCTTTGGCACTTATATGACCTTATTGTGTTGCAAGTTCCGTAAAACGCTCGCTAAAACTAAAAAACAAACAACTGTGGCTAAAACCAAACTCCCCTTTGGACGTTTCAGACTGGTGTGTGCCGTCAGCTATATGCTCACGTCAGGGGAGCGAATGCAGTTTCGAAAGTTCTTCAAATTTCAGGTGAGGTTACTTCCCTTGGTTCACTCGTACATGTACTAATTTTGAGGCATCTCGGGAAAAGCTTTTTCTTTCCTAATAATCCTTACTATCGTCATTTTTCCTCTGCCTCTTTTGTATGTTTGTCACACTGCACACTCTTGTGACCCGGTACTTCCGGGGTGCCTTGATAGTCGAAGCAGACTTTGTGCTGTTGAGGCAAGAGAGAGGTGAACAGAGTAAGTCTGATTCCCCTTTTGGACTTCTCTGTTGACAACCACCCCTTGGCGCTCAATGACCTAATGCAGTTGTGAGCTCCGCAAAACCTCTACTAAAACTAAAAAGCTAACTTGACTTAATTAAGTAAACCACTGCCCACAACTTGGCCTATTTTTTGACGATATCCAGTGATGGTTGCATTGTTGTGGTGGTGCTTGTTTAATGTGAGGACATCTTGACAAAAGCAAGACTAGTTTGCTCAGTTGGGCCTATTTTTTTTACATAAAATTGTTTTTTTGTTTTTTTACACGAATAAGTAATTGATGCATTGTTGTTGTGGTGGGGCTTATGTAATGGAAATACATCTTAACCAAAGGAAACCACTACCCACAAACGAACCCATTTTATTTTTTGATAATTTCAAATGTCAGCTGAAGTCGTTTCTGTTCTTAAATTAATCAGATGAATATTTGGAGTAATTTTCTTTTAGTCAGAACACGACGTTTTATGTTACTGTTGTATGTTGTACTGTATTGTAAAGTGCTCAGAGCCTGTACACTTTAATCAGGGTTGAGCGCAATATAAATGTCGTTTGTTATATTATTATTATTATTTATTTATTTATTTATTTATTTATTTATTTATTTATTTGCTTGTGTATTTATATATCTTTATTGCACCAGGTCCTGAAACCACTTGACGTAAAGACCAAGTTTTACAATGCTGAGGTAAATTTCTTTTATTAAAATTGATACCTTCAGAAAAGTTCTATATGTTACATATCATACATGCTCTGGGCTCTATACCCACATGCAAATGTCTAATGAATTCTTTGCCAGTCAGTCGTAGCTATAGGTATTGTGCTGACAGATTTGTTTGTATATCGCTCTTTGTGCTTCTGTCAGCCAATCAAAGTGACGGAAAAATGTGTAGTGTTTCTGCGTCTGACCATTGCATTGCTGCGTGTCTATATGTGTATATAATGTGTGTGTATACTTTTTATATGTATCATATCTGATGTATTGACGATATATAATGTTTACATGTGTATTATACATACACAGATTATATGATTAATATACATATATACATATATACACACACACACACATA